ACCGGGAATGCCTCGGAGTCGCCAACTGTAGTCCTGATGTAAATAGTAGATCTACAGTACATATCACGAATCGCTCGGATATAAGTAGTTGGGATCCGTCTCGTTTCCAAAGTCTTCCAGATCGTATCGCGGGGTACACTATCATAAGCCTTCTCAAGGTCAATGAACGCCATGTGAAGATCTCTAGACTTTTCCCTATATTTCTCCATAAGTCGTCGAAGTAGATGAATCGCCTCCGTGGTAGACCTGCCTGGCATAAAGCCAAATTGGTTTTCCGAAACCCTAGTAACTTGTCTCAACCTAGTCTCTATCACCCTTTCCCATAGCTTCATGGTATGGCTGAGTAGTTTAATACCTCTGTAGTTACCACAACGTTGGGGATCTCCTTTATTTTTATAGATTGGTATCACCGTAGACTCTCTCCACTCCTCTGGCATCTTGGCAGTCTCTAAAATAATATTAAAGAGGTTGGTCAACCACTTAATTCCCTCTTCTCCTAGGGCCAACCACACAGTGATAGGAATTTGATCAGGACCGACAGCTTTGTCCCTTCCCATCTTTCTAAGGGCCATTTTGACTTCCTCAAACCCAATCCTACTTGTAGGGCAGTCATTGGTCGTAGTATGATAGTCGGCTAACCCATCAACGATACTATCTCTACATGGAGAGGCACCGTCATTAAATAAGCCAAAGAAGTAACTACCCCAAACCCTCTTAATATCGTGATCTTTCGCTAAAAGAACACCATTGTTGTCCTTAATAAACCTAATGTTACCTAGAACCTTTTTCCTAATCTCCCTAGATTTTGCAAGTCTGAAGATGTCATTTTGTCCTTCCTTGGTGTCTAATCTCTTGTACATTTCCTCGTATGCCTTATCCTTTGCTTTAGCTACCATTTTCTTGGCTTCCCGTTTTGCCTCCTGGTATCTTTGTTTAGCTCTCGACCTTTCTTCGTCGTCATTGCATTGTAGAAACTCCTTGAAGCAAGTTTGTTTTGTCTTCACCTTAGTTTGGACTTCGTCGTTCCACCACCACGATTCTTTAGTTCCTTGGCCTTCCCCGTCGACAACCCAAGGGTGTTTTTGCCAACCTCTCTGATGGAATTTGCCATATTTTTCCATAACATATCTGCATTATTTGAGTTTGTAGTTTTAAAACTTGTATTAGACAAAACCTTACTCCTAAAGTCATCAGATGTCGCTCCATGTAAGTTCTTCCAGAGGATCCTAGGTTTACCAAGTTTAGCCCTCCTATGAGTGCTCCGCCCGTGGGGTGCGCGGAACACCAGAACCAACAATTTGTGTTGTGATGCACATGCCTCTTCAGGGAAGACCTTACAGTCAATGCAAGCCCATCGTTCCCGATTTCTAATCAAGATGTAGTCGATTTGGGTACAATGTCCCCCGCTATGAAACGTAATCAAGTTCGCATCTCTCTTATTAAAGAATGAGTTAGTGATCACCAAATCGTGAGCAGTAGCAAAATCAAGCAACGTACGCCCCTCATCGTTCCTGCTACCATAACCGAAACCCCATGAACACCGTCATACCCGTCGGTTGCACTGCCTATATGGCCATTGAAGTCTCCCCCTATGAAAACTCTTTGGTCCTCCGGAATGCTCCTAAGTATATCATCTAACTGATCCCAAAAGCAACGTTTCTCCCCCTCCCCTAGGCCAACGTGTGGGGCGTACACTGAAAGTACATTCACTACTTCCTCTTCTATAATAACCTTAATCATCATGATCTTATCCCGGTATCTACAAACTTCAACTACATTTTCCTTGAGCCTAGAGGATGCCAAGATACCCACCCCATTTCTAGCGTTATCTACGCCTGAATACCACAACTTGTACCCATTACACTCTCTGGCGCGGGACCCTTTCCACCTAGTCTCCTGGATACATGCAAAATCTATTTTTCTATTATTAAGTACGTCGGTCAGCTCCAGCAGCCTAGCATTTAATGTGCCTACATTCAACGAGCAAACTCTTAGTCTAGTCTCCTTGTCACCACTCTGTCAAGCCCTCCCCCTATACGCCCCATGGGATCTAAAAGAAGGACATGACCTCAAGTAATCATCTATAACCGAAGCAATGAGGAACTATGAAAAAAGAATCCAAATAAGACAGAAGATGCACTAATAAAAACGCTAACTTAATTCCAACAAAATCTAATCAAATAATTTTGCGGTATTTACTGTTTCAGAGAGTAAAATAGACCAAATCCAGTAACAGAAACTATAAGTTGACAAAATCAGTGAAGATGAACATCAAACCCAGAAAATTTTGCAGAGAAAATGATAATAAGCAAGCATATATATCACTATTGAGGTATTCACTGTTCTAGAGAGTTTAAACAGACCAAACCCAGGGGAAAAAACTCTAAACTACAATCTGAAGATGAACATTGAATCGAACCCAGAAAAATAAATAAACCAAAAACCTCTAAATTCTGAAGCGAAAAGGAGATGGAAACAGAGCTAAAAAAGTTGCTAGGGTCTTTAGCACAAAATTTAGTCTTTGGTAAATCAAAGAGCCTCTAACTACCAAAAAGTAAAGCTAATTGATGATTCTAAATATACAGTTCGGATTAAACTTCAAGAAAATCACAGATTGAATTTAACGGAAACTATAAACAAAGTTAAAACAAAATCAGGAATTGAAGTGAAAAGGGTCAAAATCACAGTCAATATTTTAGGCTTTATGGATCTCAAAACAAACCAAGAGAGATTAAAGAATTAAAGGAGGAAAGCAGCAGAACTTTCTTGATTCCCAAAAATTTTCCACAAATATAAATTTGTATAAATGAATGAAATTAATCTTTTTAAATAAAATAACTATAAAAGGGGAATCTTTTAAGCTTGAATCAGGGAAAAGATCTGGATTTACTGAATACAGTAATTAGTTTGAAGAACAAAAGGAAGCGTTATATTTAATTCAAAGAAGAGGAAAAACACAGAGATCAGAGAGCAAGAGCACTTATCTTAGGGCAAAAGGGAAATAGAAGAGAATGGTAAAGTTCTCCGTGGGGATCGAAGAAGACGGAGAAGGACCAAGCAATCGAGTCCCTAAGCGTCAGATGATTGATTTGGGTGCTTGAAATCCCTAATTGATTTGGGAATTTTTTGCACGAATAGTTTGAGGGATGAGTTGAATGCCGAGTTTTGGCTATGGAGAATCCAATGACTCTTTCCGTCCATAACATCAAAATATATTTAAACGTAATTATCACGTTACTTCTTAAATGTATGAATATTATTATATTGGTCTCATTGCACGAAGGCCCAAATAACAAATTAACAATTAGCTCATAAAAGACACAGAACAATTTGTTATGACATGGCCCGACACCATCAGTCTTGGTGACCAGAAATGTTGGCTGATGCAAAAGGAACCACTCTCACTTCATGGTGATGACTGACGAGTATTTGATTGAATCAAACAAAAAATAAATATATTTATTCAAAGTAAAGAGATAATTTTAAACATTTATTTTCATTCAAATTATTTTAAATCAATATAAAATTAAAAAATTTACATTATATAAGTAGATACATATTCTTTTTCACATGTGTAAATAAAATATAGGGCAGGGGTCACTAGGTCAGAAAAGTGATTACTATAAATTCAACCCAAGTAGGATTTGAACCTACGAATTTCAAATGATATAATATATTTACAATGTTATTTTTTAAAGAATGAATTTTGAAGAAAAGTTATTAATGGAAGTGTAAGGGAACTAATGAATTGATAGAAAGAAACAAATTGCAAATAGTCATAGTCAGAAGACCACTCGGAACAAAACACAAATATTCTTAAGTGGTAGATAAGCATGGACTCTAATTTAATAAAACAAACAAACAAGAAAAACAACGATCAAATCACATAACAATCAAATTATTTAACAAATGACATTATTTCAATTTTAATTTTTTTAGTTATTCAAACTTTACAATTTTAAAGTCAACTTGAACCAAAAATCTGACCAGAAATTCAAGTTTCAAACAAGGAAATGATCAATTTAGTAATTAAGAAAGAATAAATAGTAATTAAGATAAAGAGGTAATTGTCAACCCATCAACAATCATGCAATTTTGAATGGTAAATGCCAAGTTCCAAACAAGGAAATAATCAATTTAGTAACTGACATGCAGAAACTTGTCAAAAGGTTTAATTGGTGATAATTCGATAACTATTTGTTATCACCTTATACATATTTACTTCACGTCTGATTCAAAGACCAAGGAGAGAAAGAGGGAGATAACTTGCCAGTTAGCAATTCAATTTGATTACACGATTTAATCTCTCGAAGAAAATGGGGCACATATTTGTGCTGAACATAATGACATCCCTCATCCACTCTGGCGCCACCCTCTCAATGTCCCTAATGACGATACCCGGTACACTAACTCAGCTTCCTCTCCGCCTGTTTTGTTTATCCACGTTAGGCTGAATGAGTAACCTGTTTCATTTATCCGGTGTCAAGTAATGAATGTCATTTCTTGTACGCAGCAGCTAGTAGTTCTTGAATAGGCATGACTATGGATGTATTTATTAAAATATATGTTAGTTAATGTATGCGTATGACTATAGTCCCTATCCATGTCCAAATAGATGTAAAACACAAATGTCAAAAACGGATACTTCACATAGTGAAACAGACTTTATTTCTGCAATTGCTTTATACCAATGACGGTGCTTTATACAATGACGGGTGTTATGCGATTTGTAAATTATCTTCAAAATTTTCTGATCTTACATCACATTACTGATGTTACCACTCAACAAATCAATAACATAAAAACTTTAAGGGGAAATACCTGGAACTAGAAATGAAAGATGGAAATACTAAAAAATTAATGAGCTGACTATGATTCTCAAGTTAAGAATTACCACTTGATTGATGCAGAGCTGAAATGCATAGTCCTTCAGTTTGGTCAACGGTGGATATTGTCATGCCAACTAAGCAGACAAGTTCCATGATCAGTGGCATTTGCACTTATACTGCCTTTACAGCATTCTGGCTGCATAATCATCCAAATAATCAGTAAAGATGTAGAAACTCATCTTTTGAGTAAAGAGATGATTAATTGAGAATATACCAGCTGAATATGTGAAAGAACCTCATAGGGAAAAGCTTTCTCAGGAAGGTCTTCCGTCAAAGCACATGACATGGAAACTTTACCATTAGCTGAATCAGGTGTAATGATGCTGTCGTCAGTCTCAGCAGCTGATTTCCTGCCATGCTTTCTTGTCATCATTCTAGTGGAGTTACCAGAAACCCTTTCTACTGCAACTTGTGCACTTCTAGGAGAGACAGTTGGTATATTATCTCTATTGCCACCCTTAAAATGTCCCTCTTGATGAAGATTTTGCAGCCTCGTAACTTCTTCAGAAAGTGCTTTATCTGTCATAAATTTTAGCATTCGGTTAAAAAAGAGCTACAGACATGCTTGACACTAGAAAGTTAAAACATCCAACAAAGGCAACTCTACACATTTATCTAAATATGTTTTCAAAGACACCACGTACAAATTAAGATAATCCACTTTCAACTTCATATATGTCTAGTTAGTGATTGAGGACAGTGTTCAAACAATAATTGACTTCGTATAAATGTCAAAATGGAAAATGTGGAGAGTAGACAATTGTGAATATGCACTCTGATCGTTAGCATGATAACCATAAAAAATGTCAAAATTATGATTTAACCTTTTAAAGTTATAGCAAGGGAGAAGCGAGAGATCTATTAACCATGCGGATTGCTGAGAGAAGTAATATATAGAAATACTGAAAACAAATCAACACGCGCAGTTACCTTCTTCCAGTCCATCTAAAGAATGAAGCAAACAGTTTTTGTCCCATGCATTTTGGACAGGTGCAAGCCTCAACAATACAAGAACTAACTACCAACTTCAACGGCAATGAAAGACGTAAAACCTAAATCCATTTTTTACTCGGACAAAACTTGAGCATAGAAATCCAATTCTTTAACCAAAAGCATAATACTGAGTTCTTTAGCCATGACTCATGTAAACTGATACTAAATATTGTTATTTTCTTGTTCTTACCCAGCATACCTAACATTCAGCTTCAATTTGTGTTTAGTTTCCTTGCAATAGCATATTCAACAAAGACAGAAGCAAGAAGAAGGCCAAGAAAGTTAAGGATGCTGTTACATATATATTTTACATTGAAAAAAAAGAGATACAATCAACAGCTGATTTCTTCTTACACTTCTGGCTCTCTTCAATCAAAAGCTTTTGGTAGTCTGCACATTGCTTGTCCTTGCTGGACCTGCAATATTACATTCGTGCAAAAGTTCAAGAAAGTAGACACTGGCATGCTAACTTGCAAAGGCCAAAGTGAATGAGAAATACTTTACATTACAGAGGCCACTTACCAAATGCAAGCCATTAGCAAAGTTTGTGTAATACCTCAATTTAGGGGCTAAATTTAAGAAATTATAAAGTGGTGAATTTAATTTGTATTTTTGGAAGAAAGTGGGGATTAAATTATAAAATTTTAAAATTGGCATACCTTTTTAAGAAGTACAGGAAATTCAGTGGCTAAACTCATGATTTAACCATTTTTATTTTGGAGAGAATTATAAATCTCTCCCCCATATGTTCATCAGAATATTTTTCCAGTTTTCCCTCTCCAACAACCCTTCTTTCAACTCTGATCTACTCGCCGTCCGATCTCCGATCGATGAGCCGAAACCACCATCGTGTTCGTTGTCAACCGAGGAACAAAACCCGTCAAACCTTTCGTCGTGAATCGTCTCCGTTCGTCTTTAATTTCAGTCGGAAGTATCGTCGGTAATAACTCGATTTCAATTGGTTTTTCATCGATTCACGACGATTCGATGATTCGTTTACGACACCTCCCGCATCATCGTGTTCCTTGCATCATTCCGAGTCTGCCCGGTGTCATCCTTGGTCTCCGTCGACGGCGGCGCGTGAGAAGGAGAAGCGATCAAAGTTTTCAATTTGTTGAAATCGAGCTCTCCGCTGTTCAAAAATTTGAACCGAGCTTTGTAAGTATCTTGAAATCGCTCAAAATAATTTTTAGAAATTTTTACGTGATTTATAGGACACTAGAGTGGGTCCCACGTGCCCCCCACTGCGCGTGGGGATGGTCCAAATGATCGGTTTGACCGGTTTTTTTAACAATCTGACTGGTTTGACCGGTTACAACCCGACCCGTTGACCCAACCTGACCCGTTGACCGTTGACCGGCGTTGGCCACTGTTGACCAAAACTTTGACTGGGCAATTAAACAACCTTTGACTTTGACCGAGTATATCTATCCTGACATTTTTCGACGTTCCAAATCCGATTCCGCAATCCGTTTTTTGAAATTCAGACCCGAAGGCCTCGAAATTGCCAGTCAAACCCGTTGACTTTGATTTTGACCGAAAATTCCAAATTTTCGAAAAGTCATATTTTATGCTTTCGACGTTCTAAATCCGAATCCGAAGTTCGTTTCGCCAAATTCGAACCCGATAAGCTATTTTTCACTGATTTATCATCCGATTCAATCCGTTTTTCAGAATTAAGCTCTGTTTTTTATGTAATTTCTGTTGGTATGGATCCGAGGAAATATTGGAAGATGATTTCAAGATAGAGGGCGTTCAAATGGAATTTTATGGTCGATCAGTATTGCACGAAAATTGAGGTAATACTTTACTACCTCTTTATGCTTTATAGAACATGTTGGTATTGGTAAATACATGAATGAAAATGTTTGGTCTCATGTGTAATTAATGAAGATCTACACTTGATACGAATACGGTAGCAAGTAGGTAACTGAATATGGCTCAAATGACTATTATAAGAAATTTGAGGACAGTTGAAATTAAATTACAAGTTCTGGAATTAAGTGATAAAAGAATCAGCCATTGATATGTAGATTTAAGTGATAAAAGAATCAGCCATGGATATGTAGATTATAATTTATCTCATTAAAGGTACTTAGATGATAAATTATGAGAATATTTCGATAAGGTAAAATTACGAAATTACCCTTATGTTGGAAAATGACAAGTATTGTCTCTGGAAGTGGATTAATAATCCGAAAAGAATTATTGATCTGATAAAACTATTGATGTGCATAAGAAATGTTAGTTTTACTTGGAAATTATGGATAACCCGTTTTTAATCCCAAGAGGGTTTATGCTAGATACTAGAAGTCTTTTAAGGAATCATTTCAAGATCAAATAATGTTCGAGGAAGCAATTAATCATAGGATCTCTATATTATATTATTTTCGTTAAGAGTTAATATCAAAATTATCTGGTTAAGAAATTACGAAAATACCCTTGAGAGATAAAATAGTCTGAGTTGACCCTGAATGAAAAAGTACTTTGAAGATTTGTACTTTGAAGATTTGTACTTAACTTCATTAAGTACGAATTTGATTGTTAAGATCCTGACTTAGAACAGAAAAATTCTTGATATTCCGTTGGTAAAAATCTGAGAAGGCACTTGACCCAAAAATATCCGAGTAATGAGTAAATACTTGAAGAATAATTTATCGGGGTATTATACTGTCAGAATTGTTCGAAATGACTGAAATAAATAATAAGATTGAATTTAATAGTGAGATCAGACGAAAGAAAATGATTAAAATACATTGAATCTGTAAAATGACCAAAATACCCCTGTAATAGAAATGACCCAAGAATACCACCAAAATTACCAAAATAATCTTATGGCCTATACCAAGTAAATGTCTTGGATTAATTAAGGAATCCAAAAAAACATGGGTGTTGGACTACCTTTAAAAGTAATGGAACACAATTTAAGTGAGTAGATTAACTCCAAAGTTATGTCAATACCTGAATGACATAGGTATTACTGGAATGTGTGTTCGTCTTCTCAAGTTTGACTCGATGATAGCTTAGCTCAACTCTGGATCGCATTCAGTACTAAGAATTGGACGTTTGTTCGACAAATCAACCACGAAGACCAAATCGAATGGAACGGAAGTACTACATGTGTCTGAAATTCAGGAACATTTGAATTACTCTGGAAAATCCCGAAGTAACTGGAATGTACATGACTGTTAAATTAACTAGGTAACCTCAATGACTGAGGATTAAGTAAGTAAATTGGATAAGTCTGGAAATTCTGATGAGTTTATAAGATGTAATGTCCTTATGGAACATGAACTACAAATCAAACATGTCCGTATTTCATGATATCGTGGAAGCTTGGAAATGAAATAAAGACCATTGTAAGATCTATTCAGCGATGATTCTGAAGATGGTCTATGGACAAGAATTTGTGGTATTAAAGAGTAAATACCCTGGAAGGAAAATGAATTGACCAATCGACATAGATTATTAAGATTCTGAATCTTCGTTCTCAAGTTTTTTGATTATCCGATCAATTGACATGGATGTAAAAGATTCTGAATACCCTTATGATTACGTACAACTTCTGAAAATTGTTTGAATAAGATATGATCCTGATAATTTGCATTCTGAATAACTGATGATTTAGTCAGTTAATGAACTTTTCCAATAGTATTTCTAACTTCCAGTATTTTATCGGTATACTGAAGATCCGTATTTCTCTTCCTGATAAGATTATCTTGTACCTCTGAATAATATCTGTAAACTCTGGTGTGTTCCCTAATCATATAAATATTTTATCTGATTTCCGACTTGAATTCTGTTCTGATACATGACCTGAATTTTGTTCTGATTTCTGATTTGGATTCTGTTCTGATATATATGTTCTGAATTCTGTTTTGATTTCTGATATCTCCGTTTAACGACGGAGAAATGTTTTATTTGGGGGGGTTTATTGTTGGAGGAAGATTATCTGCAGGCTTCTCAGCTGTGTGCTCAGGGCCTCACTGGTTGTGCGGGATGTATGGTTCCGGGAAACATACACAAACAGATTGTGAAAGGATGGGGGTGTATATATATATGTTTTAAAATAAAAAACTGTATATTTTTACTAGTTTTAAGGGAACACACTAGATAACCTATTATGATCTCCTGAACTCAGTCATTCGAAATATTTATCTGAACTGAAAGCTCATTATCCGTTACCATCTGAAATATCAGTAGGATCTCTGATCAGCATAAAAATCTGTAGATGTTCGGAAACAATAAGAAAACATATGTTTATCTGTATTTGCACGTTCTTCAGCATCATCTGGTAGTTCTGTATTACTGAGCTTTCCGAAGCTCACTCTATTACTCAACATTACAGGTTAAAAGAATTGTACCAGTGCAGCTATCGACATCAGTAAGGGAGTTTTTCCGACGTTGTTTGCAGAGTACGGTACATGTGATTAGGGGGCATGTAATTGTATTTTGTTTTATATACGAGTCCAAAAATCTGTTTTATTTATACATACTGATAAATCATTTTATAAGTTACATGTTTTGTTAAAAGTTTTAAATTTTCCGCTATTTTTGCAGTGGGTCGCTCCGGTGGCCCTAATGTGACACTCCAGATCGGATCGGGTTACCTGTATCGGTCTGAGGGGGTTACAGTTTGGTTCATTCTACAAACTCACATTCAAGGTTATAACTTATAACAATCATTTTTTTGCGTTAACACACAAATACTAGAATGTCATTGTCACATATTCTTCACATCTACAGCTTAGGTATTGGTTCAAATATCAGAGCACGGCTATGTAGAAATCTATAGTATCTAGTTTCGACCATTACCAACAAAACGAATTTCAAAATGCTATAGCCACAACTATAGCTTCCATGAAACGCAAAAGCACCCTGCTTCCATTTTAAAGCTTTTCATTATGTCAAACTATCAGTCATGAGTTCAGCCCAACCATTAAGCATTCAACCTCAAGATAAAATGATTTTGAAATTTGAATTATAAAACACATTATTTTACCTTACATTTCATAAGGAAGGTCCAAAATAATAACATATCTTTTATCTAAAAGCAAAAATCAAGTGATGGTTATATTTTGTTATATTTCTATGATATATGCAAAATTAACACAAAAGAGAACAAAAACATAGAGATGACTTTGAGATTCACATAAAACATGAAGACAGGGATTAAAAAAATCAGTAACTCTAGAATGACGATATACTGACCACGCACGTAATTCAAGAATTTCTCTTCTTGATCTCTATGTATGTCATCCATTTCAGACAGTTTTCTCTTCTGAAAAAGGAATGGAAATAAAAATCATAATAAGGGAGTAGACATAAAGCTACATTTGCTTCTCAACGGAAGAAAAAGGAGGGAAAACGAAAATTCCATTTTAATCAAATTATCAATAAATGTATACACCTTGCAGCTGAATTTTATTCCACTTTAACGGAGGGAAAAAAACTAAACATTTTGTTCTTTTCTTCAGTTTTGTTGGCAACCAAACTTATAAAGAAAGAAATTGC